TGCTCCTATGATGCTGCTTGGCCTGCTGTGTTCATCCAGCTCTACACCTTGTTGTCTCGGATTCTCCAGCATCTGCAGTTCCTACTATCTCTGATTTAAATCATCTGATATTTTCACCTCTTTGAAAGTAATCTCAATAGAGACAATGAAATAATTCTTAGGCAGGATTCAACCCAGTCATAGAATCATAGAATCATACAATGCAGAAGAGGCCCTTTGGCCCATCGAGTCTGCACTGACACATGACAAACATCTGAGCTTTAACCTAATCCCATTTACCAGCATTTGGCCCATAGCCTTGAATGTTATGACATGCCAAGTGCTAATCCAGATACTTTTTAAAGGATGTAAGGCAATTAGCCCCTACCACCCTCCCAGGCAACACATTCCAGACCATCACCACTCCCTGGGTAAAACTGTTTTACCTCACATCCCCCCTTAATCCCCTGCCCTTCACCTGGAACCTGTGACAGCTTGAAACTGACCCTTCATCTAAGGGGAACAGCTGCTCCTTATCCACTCTGTCCATACCCCTCATCATCTTGTACACCTCAATCAGATCACACTTTAGTCTTCCCTGCTCTAATTGAAACTACCCAAGCCTATGCAACCTGTCCTCATAACATTTTCCATCCCAGGCAAGATCCTGCTGAATCTCCTGTGCACTCCCTCCAGTGCAATCACATCCTTCCTGCAATGTAGTGACCAGAACTGCACATAGTACTCCAGCTGTGATCTCACCAAAATTCTATACAACTCCAACATGACTTCCCTGCTTTTGTAATCTATGCCTGGATTGATAAAGACGTGTCTCATATGCCTTTTTCCCCACCCTACTAACACGCCCTTCTACCTTAAGAGATCTATGGACAAACACGTCAAGGTCTCTTTGTTCCACAGAACTTCCTAATATAGGTCTTTCTTAATTAGTATAGCTAACTGCAACCAGTAACCAGTTATTGATAGTTATAGAACGTGCCCACATTTTTCTGATTTGCATGTTCTCACCCTTAAGATATGAAATCTTTCAACTTCTTATTGAAGCCATGCATTTAATGTTGTGCCATTCAATCAACAGGTATTGACTATGGGCAAATAACATTCAGTGGTCAGCACTGGCATGCAACCAACTCTTGCTTTTCATGTACTCAATGCAAGAAGCCTCTCTTAGGCTGTAGTTTCACCTCCCGGCATGGTCAAGTCTTCTGCTCGATAATGTGCAGCCAGGTAGAAGAACCTGCTGGATCAGATTCCTCAGACTCTGCTTTCCAGTCAACGCAGTCCCAAGAATCCAGTTGTATTTTCAGTCTTGGAGAAGACCCAGCGGCCAACAACGGTTCACCCTCACAAAATCGGCTCTGCAACCAAACTACTCAAACACTGTCGGGGGACAACATAGACTGCGTCCTTCAACATGTCGACGTGCTCAGTATCGAAGACCGAGCAACAGACAGCAAAGATCATCCTGTGCCCGAGTTCATGATGCCATGCAAGAGTCCCGTTAAACTTCCGCACTGGCAGACAGAATTGTTGGAAAAAGACACAGAGCCTCGAAGCAAGGTAAAGAAGCCAGAGGTGTGGGCATCAGAGAATGACAGTCTCACAAAAGACAAAGGCTGTGAGTTAGAAATCTTGACCTACAGCCAAGAACCCAGCAAAAGAAATGATCATTCAGCACCATTGTGTAATTTTAATTGGCTAAAGGGTGGACTTGAAAATGCCATGAAAGTCATTGACAACACGTCTATAACTAATAACAGGCATGAGGTTTGGCCTGTGGAGGACCAAAGGATGAAGAAAACAGTGGCTACAGAGACTTTGGCTCTTGATCAAAGCTTGGCTTTCAAACATAGGCTGGACGTGTACTGCATTGAACAGGAAGGCCAACCAGTGGGTGTATTGGATAGTCCCACCGAACCCTCTTGGAACAAACAGAATCAATGGCAGGATATTCACGTCAGTTCAGAACACCCTGCACAGGACCAGGAAGCATCACCTCAGAGTTTGACAGACCAGATGACAGAACAGAGAATTGGAAGAAGCCAACAAGATTCCTTAGCAATGATCCAGATTGCAGGTAATAAAATCAATGCGTGAATGGCAACAGATCTCACACTAGGAATGGCTTCCATTCTCTCTTTCATTTCTGCCCCTCTGAACCGCACTTATGAAGAGGAGCTGAATGAATTGATGAGAAGGAGAAAAGCCATTACAATCCGGAAATCAGAAGCTCAATCCCAAAATAAAACCGAAATATTCCTAAGAGCGAAAATAAAACACAGCGAGTGCTGGAAAAATTGGGTAGGTCTGGCAGCATCTGTGGAGAGAGAAATGGAGCTAATATTTCAAGCTAAGTAGACTGAAGATCCCAGTCATGTAGGGTTCAAAATGTTACCTCTATATCTGTCTCCACAAATGCTTCTAGATTTGTTGAGTTCAATCCTGTCTGGTTTAAGTTGGATGCTTATTAGCTAAGATGCTGTTGGAGGTGTGAATTGTGCCACAGCAGCTTTTTGAGTAATATGTACATAAATTCCCCCTGATCTTTACCAAAAGGTAACCATGTACAAATAGGTTTGAGCCTGGCTATGATGCTCCCTTTCTTCAGCTCTTACTTTACAGGAATGTAGTGTATGCTGAGTACTTCTGGGTACATGTATTCAGCCACCCATCACAAATTTAAAATTAATGAATGACGATTAAGAGTAATAGGCTTACAGATCTCCAGGGTCTGAGGGCTGTAAATTGGTTTGGACTGAGTGGGATTTCCACCCAGAAGAGCAACTACAATCACTGCTTTTCATCATTTATGTAAATGATTTGGATGCAAATGTGTCAGTATATTTGCAGATGACACCAAAATTGGAGGTGTAGTGGACAGCGAAGAAGGTTACCTCAGAGTACAAAGGGACCTTGATCAGATGGGCCAATGGACCGAGTAGTGGCAAATTGAGTTTAATTTAAATAAATGTGAGGTGTTGCTTTTTGGTAAGGCAAACCAGAGCAGGAATTATACAGTTAGTGTTAGTGCCCTGGGGAGTGTTGCCGAACAAAGAGATCTAGGGGTGGAACTTCATAGTTCCTTGAAAATGGAGTCACAGGTAGACAGGGTAGTGAAGAAAACATTTGGCATGCTTGCCTTTATTGGTCAGTGGATTGAGTATAGGAATTGGGAGATCATGTTGCCATTGGTAAGGCCACTTTTAGAATACTGCATACAATTCTGGTCACCCTTCTATAGGAAGGATATTGTTAAACTTGACAGGGTAAAGAAAAGATTTACAAAAATCTTGCTGGGACTGGAGGTTTTGAGTTATAAGGAGTGGCTGAATGGGCTGGGGCTATTTTCCTGGAGCATTAGAGGCTGAGGGGTGACCTTACAGAGGCTTATAAAATCATGAGGGACATGGAAAGGGTCAATAGCCAAAGTCTTCTTGCTAGGGTAGGGAAGTCCAAAACTAAACGGCATAGGTTTAAAGTGAGAGGAGAAAGCTTAAAAAAGACAAAGGGGCAACTTTTTCTCGCAGATAATGGTGCATGTATGGAATGAGCTGCCAGAGGAAGCGGTGGAAGCTGGTACAATTACAACATTTAAAAGGCACCTGGATGGGTAAATGAGTAGGAAAGGTTTAGAGGGATATGGGCTAAATGCTGGCAAATGGGACCAGGTCAGATCAGATGTCAGGTCAGCACAGACGACTTGGACCGAAGGGTCTGTTTCTGTTCTGTAATGACTCTATGACTCCACAGTCCTTGAAACCTGGAGCATCCATCCAATCCCAAGCATGACCATTCCCAAATGTCAACAGGAGGTGGGGCTAGCAGAAAAGCTCCACTACCTGGATTCCTGGCCTTCATAGAGAGATTACTGGAGCACTGGAGTAGGGATGTCTTGCTGCAATTGTACCAGGGCCTTGGTGGGACCACCTCTTGAGTATCTTGTGCAGTTTTGGTCTCCTTATCTGAGGAAGGATGTTCTGGCGATGGAAGGAGTGCAGCAAAGCTTTACCAGACTGATTCCCGGGATGGCAGGACTAATGTAAGAAGAGACGCTGGATCAGTTAAGATGACATTCATTGGAGATTAGAAGAATGAGTGGGATCTCTTAGAAACCTCTAAAATTCTAACAGGACTTCACTAGCTAAATGCAGGATGCTCTCAATGAGTGGAGAGCCTAAAAACTAGGGGTCACAGTCTAAGGACAAGTGGTAGGCCATTTAGGACTGAGAATGAGGAGAAATTTCGTCACTCACACAGCAGTGAGCCTGTGGAATTCTCTACCAGAGAAAGAAGTCAAAACATTGAATGGTTTCAAGAAATAGTTAGGTACAGCTCTTAGAACTAAAGGGATTGAAGGGTATGGGGAGAAAGCGGGAATAGGTTATTCAGTTGGACAATCAGCCACAATCATATCGAATGGCAGAGCAGGTTTGATGGGGCCAATGGCATACTCTTGTTTCTATCTTCTATGTCTCTGCTTCTGTGACTCCTACTCTGTTTATGCTCACAATCTGTCCATTCAGTAAAGATCAGCTCAAAAAAAGTAAGTGGTATCTGTAGTGATTGTAACAAGGTCGGCCAGGTGGACCTCATAGAATACGAGTTCCCTGATTGGGGCTGTTAATCTGGTCCAATCGGGGAGCACTGAGTGACAGATAAAAACAGGAGTGCGAGAGGTTCTGTTGACTCTGAGGGAGCTGGATCAGTGTCAAGGACTGTCCATGTGTAAACAAAGTGATCCCGGCCTCTCTCGACTTGTTTCAGTGGCAACGGGAGAAGAGCATGCTCATGAAGAAATTTGCTCGCACCTGTCGTTTTTGAGTTGGGGGTAAGCATTTCTGGCATCATGCCGTTATTTGGGAAGCTTGACTCGTTTGATCCTACCATCGAAGAACTTGGCCCAGGATGTGGAAAGAATGTGTTATTTATTCCGGGCAAATGACCCTGGGGCAGATGAAAAGCAATGAGTAATTCTCTTAACAGTTTGTAGACCTGCACCTTTTTTTCACTTCTTAGGAGCCTAACTTTCCCTGAGGCACAAGATACTAAAACCTTTCAAAAGTTGATAGATTTGGTTAAGGAATATTACGACTCCAAGCTTCTTCTAATTCTGAGATGCTATCGGTTTTACTCGGCAATTTGAGAACCAGGAGAATCCGTATCAGGATTTTTGACGAGGTTAAGACAACTGACAGATGCACATGACTTTGGTTTAACCCTTAATGACTTGCTGACAGACCATTTGGGATGTGGGATTAATGATGTAGCCATGCAAAAGCACCTATAAACTGAAGCCCAACTGGGCTTCAAACAGGCACTACAACTGGCTTTATCAATGGGAAATGTAGCAAGTGATGCTTATGAGATGCAGGGTATTCCAATGGAAGTGGAAGCAGCCTTGCCAGTTTGACTGAGCTTTGGGGAACACCACTTGAGCCTAGGTAATTGCATATGGCTCACTGAGGACATACCTGAATGAGAGACTCTAAGTCAGCTCACAGCAAGACCCCTAAATGAAGCCAAGCCTCGCCCAAATGATAACATTTTCTTCAGGATCTGGGCTGGCAAGCCATTGTAGTTGCTGCCAAGCCATTGTAGTTGCTGCCAACATGCAGAGTCGAGACAGCAAAGGAATCCCACTGGACCTAAATTGAGCAAGAGAACTCAGGCCGGTATCCAGGAGAGTGCACATCCTGGAAAGTCCACCTACATTTGCTTTGGAACAGTTAAATTGTTTCACAACATCCAAATCAGAACCAATCGAAATAAACATCTGGTTAAATAATCACCCACTTCTAATGGAGGTCGATAACAGCGAGGCTGTTTCAGTGATCGCAAACCCAATCTTTAACAAAATTTACTGTGGACTGTAATCCTTAAGTTTGCACAAGACTGCGGTTTGATTGAGAACCTAGACTGGGGAACTTTTATAGATTAAGGGTACAACTTCAGTCTCTTATGAGAAGCAGCTGGTTCAGTTACCATTAATTGTAGTAAAAGGATCAGGTCCAAGCTTGATAGGCCAAAATGGTTGAGAGAGATTCACCTTGATTGGCTTAACATTTTTCAATTAGAAAATGGCTGCCTGAGTGAAGTCCTAATTAAATACCCAGAAGTTTTTCAGGAAAGTTGAGGGCCTATCAAAGGAGACAGGGCCAAATTGCATGTTGACCAGGAAGAAATTCTACGATTCTGCAAGGCCCATCCAGTGCTGTTTATGTTACGAGCAAAAGTAGAGGCAGAAATCAGGAGGCTGGAATGCGAAGGAATTGTCAAACCAGCCCAGGTTACAGAATGGGCAGCACCAGTTGTACCGATTGTGAAACCTGATGGGTCCGTTCACTTTTGTGGGGATCTTAAACAAACAGTAAGCTGCTTTTCACAGCTGGATAAATACCCAATCCCTCAGATAGAGGATTTATAAGCAAAGCTGGAATTGCTTATAAATCAATGGGGGAGGTGGGGTCTGTCCTTCATGCAGCTGTACATGAGCCACATGCAGTTGCGGTTACATGAGGATTCCCAGCAGCATGCTACAATTAATACCCATAAGGATTTGTACCAATATATGAGACTGCCATCTGGGGTATCCTCAGCCTGTGCAATTTTTCAGCAGATGATGGAGGACATTTTACAAAGTCTATCCCAGGTCACCATTTATCTGGATGATGTGCTAATAACAGGGAACCCCAATAAGGAGCATTTAGAGAAGTTGAACATAGTCCTTAGACACTTCTCCCAGGTGGGCATATGCCTTAGAAGGGAAAAATGTATACTCCAGGCACCCCAAGTGACCTATTTGGGCTACAGAGTTGACAAGACCAGGTTACAACCATGGGAAGATAAAGTGAGGGCGACCAAAGGTGCCCTGTCTTTCATGTCTGTACCAGAGCTTTGGTCTTTCCATGGGCTGGTGAATTATTACAGAAAGTTCATACATGACCTGGCCTCCACCTCTTAAAAAAGGGTCAGCCTTGGAAATGGTCGTGTAACCAAATCATAGATTTAGGGAAGTGAAGAAACTGCTATCATCCTGTAAAGTGTTGGCACACTATGATCCCAAGGGAGATCTGGTAT